AGCACTTTGGTGTGTCTGTGTGTTCTGTCTGTTTGTTTGTTTGTTTGTTTGTTTGTTTGTTTGTTTGTAACCACTGAACTCACGTTACGTAGACCCAAGAAAACACTTGGGCATGGTCCCGGATGGGTAGGACTTTGCCCCTGGGGTGTGTACGGTTCGCTAAAAATGGATACGGCAGTTGGCGGAGTCGCCCTTATGGGCGGGGGTGGAGGGGGCTCATTCCAAAATCTGTGAATAAGCTAAATTCTGCATTTGTAAAATGCGATTAATGTGAGATTAAGTATTACGTATCCCCTCTATATATAAAGCAGCTGTTTGGTGTGTCTGTCTGTTTGTTTGTTTGTTTGTTTGTTTGTTTGTTTGTAACCACTGAACTCACCTTACGTAGACCCAAGAAAACAACTTGGGCATGGTCCCGGATGGGTAGGACTTTGCCCCTGGGGTGTGTACGGTTCGCTAAAATGGATACGGTAGTGGGCGGAGCGCCCTTATGGGCGGGGCTGGATGGGGCTCATTCCAAAATCTGTAGAAAAAACGCTAAATTCTGCGTTTGTAAAATGCGATTAATGTGAGATTAAGTATTACAGTATTGATTGGGGGGTGTGGTAAAAGTCGAAATTCTATCGGGTCACATGCTATCGATCAATGATATCGATTGAAAATATCGGTTTTTGCGCAGAGGGCTCGAATGAGGTTGGGAATCACAGTGTTGATTGAGGGCCGTGGTAAAAGTCGAAATTCTATCGGGTCACATGCTATCGATCGATATCGATTGAAAATATCGGTTTTTGCGCAGAGGGCTCGAATGAGGTCGGGAATCACCAGTGTTGATTGGGGGCCGTGGTAAAAGTCGAAATTCTATCGGGTCACATGCTATCGATCGATATCGATTGAAAATATCGGTTTTTGCGCAGAGGGCTCGAATGAGGTTCGGAAATCAGTATCCTCTCTATATATAAAGCAGCACTTTGGTGTGTCTGTCTGTCTGTTTGTTTGTTTGTTTGTTTGTTTGTTTGTTTGTTTGTTTGTTTGTTTGTTTGTAACCACTGAACAGACCTTACGTAGACCCAAGAAAACAACTTGGGCATGGTCCCGGATGGGTAGGACTTTGCCCCTGGGGTGTGTACGGTTCGCTAAAAATGGATACGGCAGTTGGCGGAGTCGCCCTTATGGGCGGGGCTGGAGGGGGCTCATTCCAAAATCTGTGAAAAAGCTAAATTCTGCATTTGTAAAATGCGATTAATGTGAGATTAAGTATTACAGTTATTGGACTTTAGGAGGAATGTGGAAAAAAAAAAAAAAAAGAAAAAAAAAAAAAAAAAAAAAAAAAAAAAAAAAAAAAAAAAAAAAAAAAAAAAAAAAAAAAAAAAAAAAAAAAAAAAAAAAAAAAAAAAAAAAAAAAAAGAAATTAAAGGAATAAAGATAGCAAATGGTCATCAGTGCTATCGATCGAAATTCCGATATCTCTCTATTATATAAAGCAGCCAAAAAAAAAATTTGTGTGTCTGTCTGGTTTGTTTGTGTGTGTGTTGGTTGTTGTTTGTTTGTGGGTGTAAGCACTTAAACCGACCAGACCCAAGAAAACCACTTGGGCATGGTCCCGGATGGGTAGGACTTTGCCCCTGGGGGTGTGTACGGTTCGCTAAAATGGATACGGCAGTTGGGCGGAGTCGCCCTTATGGGCGGGGCTGGAGGGGGCTCATTCCGAAAATCTGTAGAAAAAACGCTAAAATCTGCGTTTGTAAAATGCGATTAATGTGAGATTAAGTATTACAGTATTGATTGGGGGTGTGGTAGCAAGGAATTCATCGTATACTGTAGCCAATCGTCAATGCCTATCGATCGAAATATCGAGTATGGACTTTATAGGATAAAGCAGCAAGTTGGTGTGTCTGTCTGTTGTGTTTGTTTGTTTGTTTGTTTGTTTGTTTGTTTGTTTGTTTGTTTGTTTGTTTGTTTGTAACCACTGAACAGACCTTACGCAGACCCAAGAAAACAACTTGGGCATGGTCCCGGATGGGTAGGACTTTGCCCCTGGGGTGTGTACGGTTCGCTAAAAATGGATACGGCAGTTGGCGGAGTCGCCCTTATGGGCGGGGGTGGAGGGGGCTCATTCCAAAATCTGTAAAAAGCTAAATTCTGCATTTGTAAAATGCGATTAATGTGAGATTAAGTATTACAGTATTGATTGGGGGGTGTGGTAAAAGCAGGAACTTCATCGGAACATGCTATCAATCGCCACATGCTATCGATCTATATATCGAGTTGGCGGAGGGCTCGGAATGAGATCCGGGAATCACGAGTGTGAGTGGGGCCTTGGTAAAAGTCGATAATTCTATTCGGGGTAGGCATTGGCTTTAGTGCATTCGATATCGTTGAATGTCGATTTTTGTTGCAGAGGGATCGAGGGAAGTTCGGAAATCACTATTGATTGGGGCTATATGATAGGAGTGAAAAACCGTGGAACAAACCCGTATACCCAGAAGACGCACGCAAACTCGCTGCCATGCACAAGATTGTTCTCTTCTAGATAGTAGGCGAGCAATTTGTTGTGCTGGGTCTGTTTGTCTGTGTTTGGTTGATCTTTGTTGGTTTTTGTAAAGGTTTACAGATCCTTGAGGGTAAGACCACTTGATAAGCAATTGAGTATGGGGTCCTCGGGGCTGTGGGGTTTAGGGGTGGAGGAGCAGGCTTAGTGCCCTGAGGTTCGAGTTTTCGGTAACGGTTCTTGCCGGAAGATGGAACCGGGCGTTGGCGGGCCGCCGCTTATGGGGCGGCTCGACAACTGCTCGGAGTTAAATGGAGAACAGAAGATGCCGAGGTTAGAGCGTAAGCTCGGAACAAAGTCTCGGGTCAGCGGTCCCGAGAAAGTGTTTTTTTGTTGAATGGCGCACGCCTGTGAATTCGGTTGGTGTTGGCCCTGCTTCGTTGTTATATAGGGCTGGGTGTTTTGACGTAGTTTGTAGTCTGCGTCTGCAACGGGAGGGGATAAAGTACGTAGCCCAGGATGTGGTTTGTGTTCAGGGTGTGGAGCTCGACAAAAGGTGGGAGCTTTTGAGTAAAGTAAGTTGCGTGGATAATCTTATCAGTTGATGCGAGTAGTAGGTTCAACCGCGCAGCGGCAAACGAACACGGGGGTTTTTAGTACCAGTAAACAATAAAATTCACTAAACAGAAACAGTAGTATTCAAATAATCACACCTTATGGAATAAAAAAACTCACCGCAGTCTATATCGATTCGAACAGTCGATTTTTGCAGGTGAAGGATTCAAAATATTGACCGCGGCGCGCATTTGCCGGCGAGCAACCGGTTTGCCGCGGAGCAACTGGCCATGGAGGAGGAGTTGAACGATATTCACCATCGAAACAAACAAACTAGCACTTACTTGCCGGACAGGGCGATAAGTATTAGGTTGTCTCATAAATAGTGTCGCTTTTTTTCAACCAAAAAATTTTCATCTAAATCCCCATGCTTTTACATCGAGTCATATACCATTCGAAAGAGAATTGTCTGCTCTACAAGATGCTATGTTCCTCTTCCACCTCTGTTCCAGGGTTTTCAAATTTTAGGCCTGCGAAATGGGAGGTCCAGCCGACAAAAATTGACCAAACCGACAACTAGCTCTAACTTTATTTTCCCTGGGGAGAAATGTTTGAAAAAAAGCAACACCACTTATGAGACAACCTAATATTAATTTTCTTGGGATAGGTCCATTCTGCACTAGAATAAACACCTTAGCCCGTATCTGAAACGCCATTACAATGCATTTTAACGCATGCAAACAAATTTCAATGTGCATAGGAAGAAAGAAAAGCATGTTCTCTCTCACCTTATTCGCTGCTCATAACAATGTAATCTCATACATTCAAACATTTACCATATTACAGTTGGCTTACGAGGCAAGGATCCCTCCCCCTACAAGGCTTAGTCCGTTGTCTCACGCCCTTCTTGGGATTTGGAGCTGCGCCAAGCCCGTTCTGTCAATCGTATGGGTTCTCCACTTTAGCAGGTAGAAAAACTGCAACAGCGAGACAGCGGAATTGTCGCTGGCGTAGAGCCTCCGCCATTTCGAGTAGAGCTTCGTTCCACAGAATGAATTTTATTCATCTATGCCATCCAATACCTGACACATATCATAATGAGTGGACATAAATACAATTATCAGGAGACACGGTTGAAGCGCCTGCAGCGACTAATGGTCTGACACTCGGAACAGGGCACACTCCTCATTCTGGCAGAACATGGGGCCTTGCAGCACCGTTTCTCGGAAGATACGTCTGCATTTCAGCGAAAATATGCCGGTCATATTTCAAACATCAGTGCGCTGAAAACCCGTTAAAACCGCAAACTAGCACTCCCGACACCACTAACCAGTCTTACCCTCTCGAGCTCTATCAAATGAAATTTAAACCGCCGCGCACGCGACACTTTGAGTTTCGCATTTAATTGCTACCTGGATAATGATTCGAAAAGAACGATATAAGTATCGATTTGGCGATTAGGCGATGAGCCGAGCAAGCGAGTGGTTGATTGGTCGAGTACGCGTGTAGGCGATAAGAGAAGGATACGTATTGATTTGTTGCTCCGCCCATGGAGCGATCGCCTACTCGCCTACTCGCCTACAACGCTCTATGGGCGGAGCAAACCAATCAATATGTAACAATCGCAATCGCCTACTCGCCTGATCGCCTAATCGCATACAATCGCCAACTCTGAACGCATTCCGTGAAGCAACTTTATTCTTAGCGGTGAAGCCTAGCGCTCTACAGACTGTCCAGTATCAGCGAAACCTTTGATGTCATACGCGCGGTTGCGTGCGAAGCCAAACTGGTAAAGTATAATTCTGCAACAATTTCGCACTACTTCGCAACAAAACGCAGCGATCGTGCTTATCGTGAACGAGCTTAGTTCGCTTCATAGTAAAGCCGCTTGCCCTCTGGTAATACTCTTTCAACTGTCACTCATGCTGTCGGATTACTCAACCGCTTGCCCGCCCAGTCAAGGAGGCGCTCAATCGGCTGAAAAGCGTCAGTTTAAAGCGATGCTTCGTCTGCTGTGGTTGGTGACTTGTGCAACGGTTCTAACCACCACCGTCGTCGACATAGTCCATTCTTCAACACACCGACGATACTGCGGCATGCAAATCATAGAGGCGTTGACCGCACTGTGCGGTGCTGTCAAGTCGTCAGGTAAACTGCATTTTACCGTTCTAGAATGATGGGCGGAAGTGGTGTAGTGACAAGTGGCTTACCACGCGAGCGGTCCGGGGATCAAATCCTGGGTCGTGAGTCGCCCGGGCCAACCAAGCCTTCCATCCCTCCGGGGTCGGTTAATTGGTACCAGACTTGTCTGGGAGGATAAAAACACTGACTTGTACATCGGCTGGCCCATTGTATAGGCCACATCGCATTCAAACGCCACTACGAATGTACAAATGGAAGTAGAATGCGTGCCGCATCCCAAAAAGGGATTGATCAACGGCAAATGCTTTATGTTTAATGCTTTAGAATGATGGGTCGTCCCTAAAAACTCACAAGCGATGCTGCAAAAATTTATTTGCGAGGTTGATCTTGTACCTAGCAGAAGAACTTTTGAAATAGGAAGAGGAATAACGTGTGGACACCGATGACTTGCTTCGATGACTTTTTCACTCACAACAGCACCTGTGCGCGCAATGGGACCATTCACAGGAAAAAACGACCGAACAAGTCTCTTTAGTCCCCTGCTACAAGTGGAATGGTAGCAAAGCGGACTTGCCCGAAGCGATCGCACACAGCTATTGACCAATCCCTCGACCAACTAATGTTTAGTTCTACATATGAATTCTCTATTTTTTAGTGTAAATGATGCTAATGTCTGCTGAAGTCAGGGGTCGAGCATTTCCAAGTACAGCTCTGGTAGATAGATGGGCCGATTATTTATAACCAGTTTAGCTCCGCACACTACCGCGTGCATGACACGGAAGGGCTCCGTAAAGCTGGCCAGCCGGCGGAGCGTTAGGTTCCGCCGCTAAACAATAACTTGCTTCGTGAAATGCGTTAGCTGGCCTTCTACA